TGATAACTATCAAAACGCCTGCCATTTGAAATAAAATAAATATTCTAATACATTCCAAATGCTAGAAATGCTAACAGTGCAAGCGCGAAATAAATGGCGCGCAAGATGAAAACAGCAAAATTGACATATGTGACAAGTTGTTAATAAAGTTCAGAAGACATAAGTAAAGCCAACAAATTCCATGGTAATGTCACCCAGTTTCAATAGTGCAAAAGGCCATTTTGAAGGTAGCTACTACATTCCATTGATTGCACAACCCCCCCCCCCCCCCTCGGTTCATTCAAGCAGACGCACGATTGGGTATAAAATTGATTGCAGTAAGAAACACGACCAACCTAACAGGAGACAGACTCTGTTTAACACAAGCAAACAAGTCTTTTCACACAACCAAACAGGTGGAACACTCAAAAAATTAGAAAGGAGTTTAGTGGAGAAAAGGGTGTAAAGTGTGCGGAAAAAAGAGGTGGGGGGTGGGGAGGGGGGGGGGTTAAATTTCGCGCAAGATGATGCCCAAATATAAAAAAGAAGAAAAAGAAGGGAAACCTGGATCTAGTCTCTGGGATAGGAAATGGGAACAATCTTCTTAATCATCTTCTCCGCAAGCTCCTTGGTCGCAGCCGCAACACAATGTCGAGCCATCAAATCCACGGGACCTCCTGAAATGGAGAAAAAAATTATTAAAAAATAATAATTAAAATTAATTTAAGTGCACATTTTAGGCTGGCTAATGGATATGAGAAACTTAAGACCACCCAAGATTATAACACAGTGCATTTTCTGCGAGGTCAGAGTTTAGTTTGATGGTAAATTGCATTAAACAAAACTATGTTGTTGAAACCGGAGAAAATAAAGCTAAAGCAGTATTTAATTAATATTTAATTTAAAAAGAATTAATGGTAAAATCAAGCTGAAACTTGTTTGCGGGATTTCACGCTTTAATTTTTTTGCGATTTAATCACTGCGCTATGCAAATGTTTAGTCATATCATATGATCAATCATGTCCATCAAGGGGTATGCGATAGACTTACCTCCACGTGGTGCACCCTGGCCAACGTATACTCATACGACGAAAATAGTCTATTAACCGGCAGTTGACTTCAAACTACCATGACCCCATTTGTATGTCATATTTGACTACTTCCCCATAATTCGCCTCACCTTTTTTCTACCTTTGTGTCCGTCTCTTTTACATCTTTGAAACACTCTTCTGTTCCACCCTCNTCTACCTTTCTACCTTCGTCTTTGGAACACTCTTCTGTTCCNCCCCCCCCCCACCATCTCGAATTCTTTTCACTTTGATGTTCCTTCCCCTCTGTGGAGCCTGAAGTCAACTAAAGGGCTAATGATAACTATCAAAACGCCTGCCATTTGATATAAATAAATAAATCTTGTCCATCAACAAAAATAAATTATGGGCATTACTAAATATCCTCCTTTGATAAGAACACCCGTTTTATCTTATTCTTTTTTTCAATGTTTATTGAATTGACACCTAATCTATAATTTTTTTCCGTGAGCCAAATTTACGGATACTGAGTTGTTTTAATCAATAGGAGAGCTGCATGAATAATAACCTGAATTTGCTCAAAGTACATCTTGGGAATATTCGCGTTGGTTCATATCCTGATTGCATGCCCGTTATAGACCGTGTAGAGTTTGTACAATCTAAATTTTTTGTGAACCAAAATTTATTACGACTTTCTTCGTTCTCAGTACCTTACTGTAGTCTACAATAATTGGACACAACTGGCAATTAATAAGCAATTCCTCGATCATCGATCACATTACATCCCGTTGTATTCCACCTAGTTGAAAATGAAAGATTTCAATGTGGATTGTCTTCTCAATATCGCCTAAGGGGTGATGTGTAGAAACAACTAATCACTAGTCAGCAAAGTAGATAACGAAACATGCAATCTGGACTTTGGAAATGTGAAGTCATCAAAAGGAGTGAAATCTGTTTGAGCTCCTGATTTTATTGTCAAGATCCTTCTGATCTCGTTCCTTTTCTCACCATTGGATTGTTACAAGGATTTCACCCATTGCGACAACGAGGAGACAAATTCTCACGTTTATTGACATAATTGACCATTTAAATAAATGCTTTGAATGAAAAAATATATCTTGCAACTATGGGTTGTTTTATTTTAGTAAAATCTACACCATACCTTCATTTATGCTTCCAATTTACCTGAAAAGCAAGATGCAGACAAGAAATAGCTGCAGAGCGAAACATTAATCAGTTGTTTGAAATTAAGCCGCGCATGAAATTGTCAGCTAATGAGAAGGGTGTGTTTTAATCAAAACCAAGGACATGAAGGAGTAAGCGAAATAAATTCCTGATCGATTTATAAAACAAAAAAACGGGGTGTACGATAGACTTGCCTCCACGTGGTGCACCCTGGGCAACGTATACTCATACGGCGAAAAGGTCTATCAATCGGTAGCTGACTTATCACTTCAAACTACCATCACCCAACTGTATGTCATATTCGACTACTTCCACAGTACTCATCTCACCTTTTTCCACTCTTGTGTCTGTCTCTTTTACATCTTTGAAACTCTCTTCTGTTCCCCCTCTCCCTCTCGACTTGTTTCACTTTGATGTTCCTTCCCCTCTGTGAAGCCTGAAGTCAACTAAAGGGCTAATGATAACCATCAAGACGCCTGCCATTTGATATAAATAAATAAAACAAAAAACATCCATTCGCATTCCTGGATGCACTTTCAGTAAATCCAGATGTGTCAGTATCGCTTGTATCGCTCGGCTTATAAGTTGGCAGTGGTGCGTTGATGTGACCAGACACAAGAGAGAAGTGAACTCACCATCAATGTTGCAGCAGTAACCCCCAGCTTCAGTGACAATGAGCCAGGCGGCAGCGTAGTCCCAGCAGTGGATGCCGAATTCATAGAAGGCGTCTCCTTGGCCGGCTGCAATTTGGCACATGTGCAATGCTGCAGAACCCATTGTACGCACGCTGAGAAATGTTGAACAGGCAAAAAA